TTGAGTTGACTGACTGAGCTTTCAAAGCAAATATTTTTCGGGTTGTCACAAAATCACAGGTTTACAATAAAAATCTATCTATTTACATGAACAATAAGGAACATGAGAAGTTGGGTCAATTCTTCCTTGTGTTCCTATCTTCACATCTGGTACCACAACCGCTACTACGTGAACCTAATAATGTGTCTGATGAGTTATTATTGCTATATTTTTCTTATCTTTCTCTTCCTTCTCATTCTCGTACTCTATCATCTAACTCTTGCTCTTAATATCATACATTGTTATCCTTCTTATTCATGTATATTTTCTATATTTTCTCTATTATTTCCTCCTACTCTTTCTCGTCTCATCTATCTCTTTACTTGACATCTATTCTGTTTCTCATACTCTTCTTTTATCCTTCTCTTACTATTTCTTAGCCTATTCTCAGGTTCTTCTCATACTCTACTCATACTATTTCTTTATCTCTTCTCTACTTCGTCTCTCCTCTATCTATTTCTCTGTTCTTTATTCTTTCTCTTCTCTGCTCGATCTATTCTCTGCTATTCCTATTATCTACTCTTTCACTACTATACTCTTTCTATTCTTTATCTCACATCTAATGCCTCATCATTCTATTCATATCTAAACCAACGGTCACATCTCACACTCTAATCCTTTCTCTTATAATCCCTCCTGGGTCTATAACAATTATTCTTTTCTTGAATCCCTCACGGATTCCTTACATTTAATCCTTCATGGATTACATCTAAGTTATTAGAAGTACTCTCTTATTTGTTCCTTTTAAGGAACCTTTCTCTATCTTATCTAACTTTACACAATCTGGGTTCCCGCATGAACCATCTATCTACATTCCCAGAAGGAATCATCATCTTTTCCATGTTGGGACATAATCTCATTCCCGAAGGAATCGTACTATTATCCCCGTAGGAGCCATACTCTTATTCTCGATGGAATCTCTACTTCTAGTTCCCCGAAGGAACCATACTCTTGTCCCCGAAGGAACCTCTACTCTTGTCCCTGAAGGAACCTCTATCTCTCGTCCCCGAAGGAACCTATATGCTAGTCCCCGAAGGAACCTTTATCTCTCCCCCTAAAGGAACCTCTACTTTTGACCCCGAAGGAACCTCTATCTCTCGTCCTCGAAGGAGCATTTACTCTTGTCCCTGAAGGAACCTATCTCTCTCGTCCCCGAAGGAACCTCTATCTCTACATCTCTATCTTTTTTATGTGACTCATCACATAACACTTGTCCTAAGGATAATCTATCTCTTTATCTCATCACAGGATCATCTAATCTTTCTCTTTTAGTACTTAATTCATTAAGTACTTAATCTTAATATGTCTCAACTAACATATTGGTATTCTACACAATACCAATAATGTCTAGACATACATACTTATTCTTATGATTATAATGCACATAATCATCTTCTAACTCTTTCCTCTATCTCTTGGGTATTTAGCAAATACCATTCTCATATAATCTTACATACTTTATGTGTACATACATGCTATGCTACATGTATCTAACATATACCTCATGCATACTCTTAATATACGTACATGCTCTGATACATGTCCTTACATGTGTATTCTTACTCCATCTTCATTTCCTTCTTATGGACATTCACTTAGTGCCCCAAGATTTAACACACACACACAGACACACACACACACAGTCACACACACACAGACACACACACACATATATATATATATATATATATATATATATATATATATATATATATAAACATAATCTTAATAGAGGGAGGGAGGGAGAGTAATAACTCACCTTATCAGTTAGTGGAGACTAACTGTGCCATCTTCGTCTACTCTGCCATTGATGCATTATGGATCCATCTTCCTTACTCTTCGGCCTATTCATACATACATATAATCATCTTAGTACTTGTCTTAACCTATTTAGAGCTTAATGACTCTTAAGGTCAAAATGACCACTTAATGGATCATAATTCTATTATTTTCATTCGCTATCTCTTAATCTCAATCAATTAAAGAATTGAGCGTCCCGTGATACCTAATTCATTATCATCTAATTTCTAATGCATCAGTTACATATAATCCCTAGTTAGAGTTTCAAACCCCAATTCTCATTAGATTGATCCCACTCATGGGGATTACATACAAAGCTTGTTTAAGGCATTTAAAGACCTTCTTTAACACTACTAACAAGCTTTTTTACTCTAATATAACATAACTATCTGAATTCATCAAAATCATCATTTAGCCTTAACTAGCTTAAAAATAGAAAAGATGATTATCTCTTGAACATTCCACCTTCAATCCAAGCCATAAAACCCTAGACCGCCTCTTGCCCCTTCTTCCTTCTCCAAATCACTGGAGCTTCAATAGGAAGGGTTTGGGGGTGTTAAATGACGAGAATGAAGGGCTTAACATGTTTTTACTCTGATGCGTAACCGTGCCATAGTTACTTGTTTACCGCACCGCGGTGACCATTTAACCTCAATGGTCGTCACTTTATTGCCATGTCGTGACGTTCTGCTTGCCATGCCGTGGTGCTCTTTGTATACTAGCAACCTACTTAAGCCACCGTGTCATGACACCCAGATACCGCTCTGCGGGGAAAAATATAATGCCATTTCTCATATGACAAACCCCCGTTGTGCCATGGTAATTTACCCACCGTGTCGCGGTAACTGCTTGACAACAGCTCCTTGGCTGATTCCATTCCAACTTTGGGACATTTTTGTTCTAACTTCTAACACGCACAACTTCTTTGTTTCTTACCCATTTTTGATGTTCCTTATATCCACACGAAGGTGGGAACACTATACACATCGATGAAGTCATATCTCATAAAATTAATACGTGTCTTAATCTATTAAATCATAAAGTTGGCATAAAAAGCATAAAATTCCAATTTTACCCTTTTGAACAAAAATGCATCTTATCATGCATTCTTTCTCTTAAACTCACTCATCTAACCTCTTCTTAGTGAATTAAACTCTTATTGACCATTTTTTTTATGAAGTAACAACTTCATAATCTCATATCTTTCTCATAATTGACCATTTTTCTCTTTGGTCAATATTTGACTAAAAGTCAAATCTTTGTAAATTTTAGGTTCTTACATACTACGAATATGTCAAACAAGTTTACTAGTTAAACGTGTATGGAAAAACATGGTTACCTAAATGTGGACAAAAACCAAAGGTAATTACCCATCTTAGTAATATTGGGTTCTTTATGCTAAATGCAAGAAGTTATAAGACCAACTGATATGACAGGGAATCGGGACCGTCAAGTCTTGGTGTCGTATATGGATCATAGATCTAAAGTATGTCATAACAACACCGCATTACAATGTCGCCTAACAGCATTGCCTGTCAACACAACCTAGCCATGACTAGTTGGGGTTGAACTAGGTTGACCCAAGGTCTAACCTAATCGTAGCTTGATCTAGCTCTATAAATAGAACACCTCATCATCCATTAAAAGGATCTCTCATTCTTAGATATAAGTCTCCGTTGTATACACACACAATCCCTAGGGCGGTTCTAACGGTTTGGTTCTATGATGACAGCTAGGAATCAAGTCAATAACTCGTTAACGATACCTAATTCCGATCTACGATTCAAATCCGACATCAAGACCCGATCACCCGATTCCAAATCACTCCAGTGGGTCTTAGGACTAATTGTACTTATCATAAATAACCTAATATTACCAAAATGGGCAACGACGTTTATTTTTTGCTCACATTTAGGTAATCATTTTTTTTCCGCACACGTTTAATTTGTGAATTTGTTTGACATGTTCATAATAGGGTAATATCACATGTAATTACCAATGATATTACCCTATTTTAAACACGACACACAAATTATTGGTCAAACATGTATGAAAAAAATATGATTATATTATATGGACAAAAACAAAGTTCGTTACCCTCGTAGGCTTTAATAGTAAATAAAGGATAAATCTAGGGTCCTAATGTGTCAATAGGTAAAAGTTTAGTCAAAGTGCTTTTGACTTGCATTTTAAGAGTTCATATCATACATTTAGTTTTTTTAACATTCAAATTGTGATTCTTTAATGCGTTAAACTCATCAAAGAATAATAAAGGCTATCTAGCATATTATTATGGATTATTCTTACAGTTTCTTCCCTATTATCAGATTAAGTTTCCTTTTAAGACGACAAATATGAGAGAGAGAGAGAGAGAGAGAGAGAGAGAGAGAGAGAGAGAGAGAGAGAGAGAGAGAGAGAGAGAGAGAGAGAGAGAGAGAGAGAGAGAGATGTATGTATGTATGTATGTATGTATGTATGTCATAATATTATTTCAACTATGATTGTTACAAATTTACAATATAATATATGGATAGTTTACTCATAAACACCGGTTTTGTCATTTATAACGGAAACTCAACCTTGATCAGTCCAGAAAAAATTATTTTGTAATAAAATGAAAATGAATATCTATATATATATTTATATGTTTAGTACATCAGACAAATTTAGTACGCAACGTATGTTTTTATGTCATTTAACCCTTTAGCACATCGGACAAATTTACAACACAAGTAAGCAATATGCATCAAAAGCTTCTAAAAATCTTCAAATCAAACTCTACTTTTTTTCTTTTTGCTTTGTAGACAAAACACAACTCGCGCAATTTCTCTTTAAACAACAAACAACTCCTATACATGTAACAATTTTAAAATACTACAACATCATAGAAAAAAAACGTTTCAATTAATCTATTACAATAGAAAAAAAAAAACATGTCATTGAATGTAATACAAAATAATAGTTGATTCGATTTAAAATAAATTTTCAATTCATACATTTTTTGAATATTTGATTAATTAATTCTTTCATAGGCGGCCCGCGACAATATTTTGAATATTTTCCAAGTGGGGTACCCTTTTGCCCTTTTGCCTTTTTACCCTAAACGCCCAAAACACTCCTATTTATATGCTTCACACTTCTATCAATTTTCTTCATAACCACCTCGCCATTTTTACTCATCTTCCTCACAAGCAACCCACATTCTTCGATTAGAATGAATTCCATGGCTATTTTGGGTTTTTTAGTTGTGGGTTTTCTCTCAATTGCTTCCTCCGTCAATGGCGACGGTGGTTGGGTCAATGCACATGCCACCTTCTACGGCGGTGGTGATGCCTCCGGCACAATGGGTATGTAATATGTTTTTCTTCATCTTCAAATCTTCAAATCTTCAAATCTTTACTCTTCTTCTCTCTATCTCTCTCTTTCTTCGATTAATTGACTGAGATTTGGTGTTATTTTGATAGGTGGTGCTTGTGGGTATGGGAATCTGTATAGTCAAGGGTATGGTACAAACACAGCAGCGTTAAGTACTGCTTTGTTCAACAATGGTTTGAGCTGTGGCTCGTGCTTTGAAATCAAGTGTGTGAATGACCATCAATGGTGTTTGCCGGGGTCTATTAAGGTCACCGCCACCAACTTCTGCCCACCGAACTCCGACGGTGGGTGGTGCAACCCTCCTAACCAACACTTCGATCTCTCTCAGCCTATCTTCCAACATATTGCTCAATACAAAGCCGGAATCGTCCCTGTTGCTTACAGAAGGTGAGAATTTACGAAAACACCCTCACACTCAACTCACAAGGGTATTATGGTAACTTCGCTTAATGTATTTTTCTTTGCTTTTGTAGGATACCATGTGTTAGAAGGGGTGGGATTAGGTTCCAAATCAATGGACATTCGTATTTCAATTTGGTGTTAATTACAAATGTGGGTGGCGCCGGTGATGTTCATTCGGTGGCAATTAAAGGGTCAAAGACTGGATGGCAACAAATGTCAAGAAACTGGGGGCAAAATTGGCAATCCAACAATTATCTCAACGGGCAGAGTCTGTCTTTTAAGGTCACCACAAGTGATGGTAAAACCGTGGTGTCTAACAATGTTGTCCCTGCTGGTTGGTCTTTCGGGCAGACCTTCGCTGGTGCCCAATTCCGATGAAAAGACGTTTTTACCCTTGTTTGGGAAATTGGTTTTAGTGGTCACCTTGGGTGTTACTATTGTATCTTTTAGCAACTACAATAGCTACTACTACACTACTACTATAATGACTAAGGGCTTATTTTGATAGGGTCATTTTAGTCATTTTGATTTTTAGGGTGCCCATCTAGTTTTTAGTTTAGGGTGCCCTAGGGTTTGTTTTGGGTTTGGGTTTGGTTTTCTTTGTTTTTGTGGTTTAGGGCAGTGGTGGACTATTACCACCCGCCATAGTCGTAATTGACGTTTTTGCCCTTGGTATTGGGCCATTGGAAATCTCTTTTTTATTTTTTGCATTGTATTGGGTTGTGTGAGGTCCTAAGTTGTAAATTTACGTTTTTTTATTAGTAATGAAAGGTGACTACTCTACTTACTACTACAATTGGTTTTGTTGCATTTCGTATGATATTTTATGCGTAGTGTACAAGTATTGATGATGACTTAAGTTGAAGCCAGCTGTATCCCAGATTTATGTTAGTGTCCTTGCCATTTAACTTATAAACATGTATATAAAACTCATTTTGTATTAAAACAATTTACTTCGTTTGATTAATGATTTAAATCAAAATGATGATGTGACATTCTCTTTCCGGGTTGTCATTTTAAAAGGAAAATCACAAAAATAATCAAAAGGGTTGAAGTTGAACTTGAACCATTTAAGAAAATAAAATTTTATTTATGGATAAAATTTATAAGGCCCATATCAAATTAAGAACGTTGTCACCATTTAAACGTTCTATTGTTAAAGAAAACAAATCATACATTTTGCAATATATGAATTATTTTATAATAACCATTTTGCATTTGGTGTTTGTGGAATTATTTTAAACGTTCTTGGTGTTTGTATTTTAATTGTTTTTATCATTTTACTAATCGATTTTTTAATGTCATTGTATCCAAATATCAAACGCACACATACTATTAAATTATAGTTTTACTTTCATCTATATTTAAAGATGTCATATTGAAGCATCAAAAGATGATCAAAACCACACATCGGGTGTCTTAAGATGTCAATAACTGAGCAATTCTGAACATATTGGACACAAGAATTTTACTGACTTGCTTTGAATACAAATAAAGCGGCATTATCACTGGCAAATCAGCCATGATCTAACTCATTTGAAATTAAAGCTTAAATTGAATCATTCCCTAAGACATTTGTGCATGTATAGATACTTTGATTGAAAGAAAGAATACTTTCGATTCATATAAAAAAGAAGAGAATTATTTGAACTATATAAATCAAGAAAACAAAAAAGTAGCCCATGGCGTGATTCATGAAAGACCTAAAGGAAACTTGGAAAGTGTGCAGTGCTTCAATCCCAGTACGTAGTAAGAAGAATCTTTGACTCAAAATCCCATTTTCCAACCATATATATTTCAAAAACAAGGCTTTTATGTTTTCTGACATTGTCATACGAGGTTTATAAACTTTGATACAAATGAAAATAGGGTGATTCTAATCAGGGATGAATAGTAGCACCCTAAAAATATTACTCATTTTGTTTCATGTTTTACGTTTTAGTATGCATAAAAATTGGTAATCACGGTGTTGTTATAAGGCCGGAGGGAGTGGTGCCGCACTCCCTCATGAAACCACAGTGACACTTAGGCGTCATCTCACATATTACCACAAAAGTGTGGTTTCATACCACACCCAATAAATGATGCATTTGGGTATGTTTTTAAATTTTTTTAATAAATAAAAGGGATCAATCAGAAGGAGGGAAGAAAAATGAATCAATCACATTGCTGGAAGTAGGCCTGACAATCGTGTCGTGTTCGGGTTTGCGTGTCGCGGGTTGGCGGGTCAAAATATGCCAACCCAAACACGACCCATTTATATATACAAGTCACGGGTTGGCGGGTTTGGAAGATAAACTCATATATGACCCGCCAACCCATTTATCTATACGGGTTCACAGGTTGGCGGGTTCGTGGAGAGAGTGAGACTGTGGGAGACTGGAAGTATGGAAGAGAGAGATATGCTTATACGCGATTTGATTTTGAGATTATTATTTAGGGCAAATGGGCAAAATGGTTACAGACGTAGCCTTACAGGTTACGACTTACGACCTTAGGCCATCCATCACGAGTCAATGTCAAAACAGTCAAATGGTCTATGAATCAATGATATATATTATATAATATTTATTAAATATTAATACTTGATACATAAATACATTTAATAATAAAATATTTTTTTATTAAAAATATAAACGGGTTGGCGGGTCAACCCGTTTATTTTTTGAGAAACTCATATATGACCCGTTTAATAAACGGGTTGGCGGGTTGAAAAACTCAACCCAAACCCATTTATTTCGTGTCGTGTCGCGGGTCGTGTCGAGAATTGCCAGCCCTAGCTGGAAGGTTGTTTGAAGGAGTGCTTCCTTGGAAGGGTGCAGTGCAGTCTACCGCACTGAGGGGGCGGTGTTTGTGCTTATGTGGCAAGGAGAGTGCGGTCCAGGCCGCACCTACTCCCTCTTGTCTAACCGGAAGACATGTTCAATTTCTTAAGCGACAATTTCTGATGTATTTAATGATTATTTTAATGAACTAAAGTAGAGAACACATAACAGTTAAAAAGGGTTCCCTATAGAATTTAATGGAGACAAAGAGATTGCGGCACGTAGCTTTGGATGGTCTTCGTTGACCGATAGCATGTGATGCCGGCACAGGCTACGATTCATGGTTTACCAATGTGTGGGTCCTATTGATATGTTTATACTTTATAGTTTATAGACTAAACTGTACAAATGGTCCCTGTGGTTTACTTAAAATTGCCACTTTGATCCAAAAAAGTTTGGACTAGCATCAGAGGTCTAAAGTTTTCATTTTGTTGCTTGTTTGGTCCAATCTATCTTGATTTTTTAAAAAATGACGGATTTACCCCTGTTATATGATTTTCTTTATTTTCTTATTTGTTTTTTCTGATTTTCAGATTTAAAAAAAAATAAATAAAAGAAAATAAAAATAAATCTCTCTCTCTCTCTCTCTCTCTCTCTCTCTCTCTCTCTCTCCTTCCTTCTTCATTTGTTCTTCAAGGTTCTCAAGAACCCCTTATCATCGACTCCACCACTGTGGTCGCCGTCAGCCACCACCGCCTTCAGCTCCAACTTCAGCCCCTATCATCTCCGCTACCACCGTCCATCTTTAAACCCTTGCTCTGATCTTGTCGCCATTGTCCATATCTGTAAACCTTCATTTTTCCAATGATCTGAAAAAATCCGCTGCTACTCGACAAAGCTCCAGATCCGTAAACCATCGTTCTTCCGGCGAGCCTCGTCTATCTCCATCTTTCTCCGCTTCATCAACAAACCGTAGCAATTTGGCGACGACGTTCTAGAGAAGAGGAAGGGCGGCGGCGAGTTAGGGTTTTCAGAAAACCCTAATCGGTTATTTTATTCTTGTTTCAACGCTGCTATCATCTACCGAAAACCCTAGCTCCGTCATCTTCATCAGCAAACCCTAGCGCTGGTATGCGTTGAACGACGCCCTCACCTTCGTCTCTTCAGATTCGACGAGAAAAAAGAGAAGTGGGTGACGAACAGATCAGGTGACGAACAGATCTGCTGGTTAATTTCTTATTCTTATTTTTGGCAGATTTGGTGATGCTGGTGGTTTAGTGGTCATTATGTGTTGATGAAAATCAATGGTGTTTCAATGGTGGTGTGATGATCTGATGGAGAAAATGATGGGTTGTAGGGTTGTGTTTGGTGGTAGTATAAGGTGGAATGGTGATTTGATGGTGGTCGCGGTGGTGGGAATGGAGACGGAGAAGGGTGGCTTTGGGTGGTGATAGAAGATGAAAGGTTCAACTGAGGTTGAAGGTTGGTGAAGGTAATGAAGACTGAGGGTGGTAGAGAGAGAGAGAGAGAGAGAGAGAGAGAGAGATAGATTGTTTTTATTTTTTATTTTTTTTTAAATCTGAAAATCATAAAAAAAAACAAATAAGAAAAATAAAGAAAATCATATATAACAGGGGCAAATCCGTCATTTAAAAAAATCAAAACAGATTGGACCAAACAAGCAACAAAATGAAAACTTTGGACCTCTGATGCTAGTCCAAACTTTTTTTGGACCAAAGTGGCAATTTTGAGCAAACCACAGGGACCATTTGTGCAGTTTAGTCTAGTTTATACCTTATTTAGTGGAATTATGGTTTCATCGTTTATGTTTTGATATGGGCTACAGCCCAATGAAAATATGACCCAAAGGGACCAAATCAGTAAACAGGTGTTAGCTGAAAGTATATATTTTAGACATTCATTTTAAGATTTTGAGACTCTCGATCGTGAGATTAAAAGGTATAATCCCAAATCAATTTATCAATAAATATCAAGAACCCTAAACAAATTGAAGAATACTAGATGTTGAAGATGACTAACTCTATATTATGATTCTTCCACTTCACATAATGTCATCTAAATGATTGATTTTGATGGATTGAATCACACACTATGATGGTGATTATAGAGTGGATTAAGTTTGTAAAACGAAGAAACGTTATTCTCTCCTAAGAAAACGTACGTCCTCTCAATATATGTGTATTAATTTATTGATCAATTACTATGAGAACTTAGTAGAACCACATAATTTTGGTCCCTTAAGTTATGAATAAATGTCATATCCATCATACTACATATTATTAATCATAGGACCTAATATGTCATTATGAAAAACATTATGACACACAATATAAATATACCTAACATGTAATGCATATTACAAAATAGTCTTAAGGGCATACTAATGTGTTATATTCCAACATTCTTCCATTTGGTTGAGTGACTATTTGCATATATTTATCTATATAGCAAGTAATTGGGCACAAGTTATTAATATAGACAAATTACACAGTAAAGAAGAATAATAATGAAGTACTTGAATAAATAAAATTAAAAGTTCTATCAAAGCACTATGCTAGAGTTATATTATAATATGTCTACCCTTAAACCCGTACTGACGACATGATGAAATGGTTTGGGTGGTAGATCTTTAATTATCAGATCCGCTAGCATATTATAAGTGCTGATGTGCTCGATACAAACATCATTATCCTCTATTTGCTCTCATATGAACAAATATTTTGTATCGAGCTAAAGCCCTACTCCAATTTAAATATTCCCAGTGAAAAAACTTATAGGGAAAGGTTATAGTAATAATTTTTCTTATAACAACCTTAAAATGGAATTTACAATCACGAGTCTTGTAATTAAATTTCTCAACAAAATTACATGGATAATTGCTATATATATGACAACATATTTTGCCAACATAGTTGATGTAGCCGTCAAATTTTGATTAGAACTCTTCCATAATCTTGCCCAACTCATATCATAAATATGTATCCCATAATAACTATTTAACTTTGCA